CCCCCCCAGCATTGCCCACAAACGCTCCACTGAGGACAGGGCTCCCCAGGGAACTGAACTCGACCCGTAAAGATTGGTCAAGTCACTAGGGCCTTCACCCAGTCAACATCCCTTCTCCCCTCCACCGGAAGGAATCTTCATCAATTCTGAACACAAATATGTTGTGCATATGACAGCCTCCGACGAAAGGACCAGGTGAAGAGATGACGGGACAATCCGATGGCGGAACGAGGCTTAAGGGATTATGCTCAAGCGAACGGGCGTGACAAGTCGAATTGAAACGCAACAGCTTCAGATCCACCATTATCGAGAGAGCCTTGAGGGACCCAGCATTGCCACTTCTCATGCTGCCAGCGCCTTATCTTCCCTCCTCGTGCATCCACGGAGGACCCTTTTCCCGATCCTCTCTTCTTTGCCATATGTGCCACGCCCTGCTTCCATTTCATTCCTCCAGCTCGACTTCAGCCTTTGCCTAGGTATTTGCCAACCCCTTATCACATCTCCACTTGAGCTAGATGACGAGCTCTAAATCCTTGTCATTCGATACCCGTCTGCAGGCCATGTGCCCTCTAGCTTGGATTCCCACCCTTCGACTTTGTGTCGAATATCAAGCACACGCGCCTTTCCGTAGTCAAAGTTTTCCATACTCGATCTTACCTTTTGCTTCATACTCGGTCTCATATCTTAGACCAGGCAACCCCTTGGTCTTGAATTCTGATTCTTCAAATCATTTTCTGGAACCTGTTCCTCCTCCTCTCCCGAAACTTGATCCTTTGGCCACTAATCCATCGCTCTCGCCCTTTCCGACGCCCATCCTCTGGATGAGAGATCAGGAACAGGCAAGAAGTCAGGCGTTATTTCAGCCAGTACGGCCAGTGACCTTACCAGATTTCTGCTCTTTTGACAGAAGTGGCAGCTTTTGAAACCTGGACGCTATACCTGTATCAATCTGCAGAATTCGAGTTGACTGGGTTTTTTTTTTTTTTTTTTTTTGGTCATTTGTTGCACTCCCCAAGAATGACCGGCTATGCCCCACGAAGCAGTCAAGATTACAATACCTTCTTCCAAAATCCGCATCTCGCCATCTCGCATTATTCCAATGGCGACGGCATCAGCTACCTCTATTCCCATGGCCAAGTTCCGTATCAGACTGTTAACACACCATGTACAGCGTACTCAACCACGTATGCACCCAGCCAAGGCAGTCTCTCGACTCCCATGTATATGCCTTCTCTCTCTGGACTTCCCGGTCAATATCCCATTACTAACAACAGAGTTCCTACGTTGCCTTCTCAGTCACGGCCACTCCTGCACCCGTCCTACTACACGACGTCTTCATCGAACCATCGTACGGCGGTTCCACATCAACCACGCCTTATTCCCCCGCGAGAACTAAACCAAATGGATGGTACCGAAAGCCAGGACTCTCCCAACGAGGATACCATGCTTTCTGAACCGGTGGTGCCTCCGTTGGAAGGTTATCCCGATGTGCATAAGTTTGACGAATTGATCCAACGGTGAGAGGATCTTTCGGCATTCCAATTATCGGCTAGTCACTAAACCCGACGCAGCTACGTTGAAGACCTTTCTCCCAAGAAACAAGACAAAGCTTTAATTCATGCACGAAGAGCTGCCAATATCAGACAGGTCCTCATTGACAAGAAGACCACTTCCATCGAGTCGGCTCAATTTCGGTACGCTGCAATCTGGGAACTTTTTTCGGGAGGAACCAAACGGAGCGCTGAGTATCTGCACAGATTCTGGGTCAAGAAAATGTTCACACTACAGCCCACGGATGGAAAAACACCGGAAGTGAGTGGTGCTGATCGATGAGCAGGGACGTACTGATTCACAGTAGAAGTTGAGACGAGTTTGTCACGAAGGCAAGCCAGTGGCCGTACGAGAAAAGCTGTTCAAAATTCTCACAAAAGCACACAAACAGTGTCAACATGGGGGTCGAGATAAAACTTCGGCACAAGTCCGACGAATGTATTCATGGTTCGACATCACCCACGGCTGATATTCACGTGCAGCTGATTGTTGATATCCAGGGTACCGAAAGAACTCATTTCGAGATTCGTCAAATTGTGTCCGACGTGCCAGGTGAGGAGATGCACAAATCGAAATTCACCACGAGGATCCGAAAGAAGCCCAGAAGAGCATAGGGATGCGCCGTCGCCCGAGACCAGTTCCACGGCCAATTCACGAAAAAATTCCGCCACAGCCAATCAGCCGACAGTCAATGGCAATTCGCTCTTGCAAACCGCCCCATGCAACTCAAGCGCGACCTTCCAACAGCAAAATCGCTGGATGACACCATTGTCGTCTCAGCACGGAGAAGCAAGTCGTTCGGCCTCCATGTCGACCGACAATCATATCAGCACTCATGATTCATACAATACTATTCCTCCCATGCCAATGAACTGTACCAAGGCCACACCACCCGGCGTGACTTTTTCATCGCTCAATCCATTTGGAAATGTCACGACATCTTCATCTACACATGGTTCAGATTCAATCGGTCGTGGTCATGTACCAACGGACCACGGTTACGGAACCCAAGTTGAGGCCCGATATCTCTAACCTGACCAGCTTTGATTCCGAACACATGTTTCATCCGTGGACGACTTTTAGTGGGCCCCCCCCCC